ATCTAGCTGTCAGGGTTTCAATTCTCGGTAGTGGATGCGCACTGCTGATGAGTCCCAAATATAGGACGAAACGAATTACTTAATTATAATTATCAAATCCTCCTATATATATATATATATATATATATATATATATATATATATATATATATATATATGATTCCGGCTTGAAACAATTGGACGTCTCGCCACACTGAGGAGCTGTGATCCAGCGAAAAAGTCTGTCTGTAGATAACTATATATATGCTCCCGGAAATCCGGTTGAGCTCTCTAGGGAAAGAGTTTAAAAAAAAACAGCGGCTTCTACTGCTATTAAGCATTACTCTTCAAGTAAATTGAATTGAGTTCTATGAGTCGCTAGCGTATTTCGTACAGGAAAAAAACTTTAAAATTCCCTTCCTTTCTGCCATGCGACGATGGCCTAGAGGTTAGATATCTGACTTTCGATCCCGGCTTAAAGTAATCGAACGCCTAGCCTCACTGAGGAGTTGTGATACAGTCTGTCTGCGGATGACTATATATATATATATTGTTATACCCAGACATACTGTTTCGCAGCTTTTCAGTGTGGCTAGACGTCCGGTTTCCTATGGCTAGGATCAAAACCCGACAGAATTGGCGTCAGTTGGATATTCTACCACTAAGGCTTCGGCGCATGAGATGGACGAAGGTGAATTTTTGCGTATTTATTTTTAGATAAACACACAGTGACTGAGCTCAATCTATATGAGTATTAATAACGATGCTCTGGTCACGTACATATACTAGTTTCATTTTCTTGAATCGGGCAAACCATAGAACACTCTGATCAACCCCGTTGCTCAATATGAGTTTTTTTTTCTAGGGAATTTATGTGTGTGCCAATTATCTAAGGCATTATTAATACAGTTTTCTTTCTATCTCGTTCTCATTTTGAAAGCATTTACTCAAACTGAAGAGAAGAAACCATAATTTGTCGAAAAAACACGATTAAATGCGTGATTTTGTTGACGCGAAGGTTCAGAAACGTTTCTGTCTTCACTGCAAAACTGTTCATTTTATTCTTGAATACTCATTGGCATAGAAACGTCTTTTCGGAGTTTTGATGGCGATTTCATAAGCGCAGCTGAGATGTGGCACAAGGCCAAAAGTGTGGAGCACCCTGTGAGGATAGGACACTCAATCGTAATTGATCTAGCGAGACAACCATGCAAACTATTACACAGCGACAACGCTTCCAAATGATATTCTAAGCGTAGCTTTGATGTGGCACAAGGCCAATAATGTGGAGCACCCAGTAAGGATAGAAATCACTATTCAGTCCTAGAGAGACAAGCTTGTTAACCATTACACAACATCGAAATGCCCATGTCTGATATATTTAAAGTTCATATAGTGATTTATTAAGCTTTGTTTAGATGTGGCACAAGGCAGTCATAATTGATCTAGCGAGACAAGGTTGCTAAACATTGCACCATGTCGAAATGTCGAAATGATTTTCTAAGCGTAGCTTAGATGTGTCACGAGGCCGAGGGTGTGGCGCACACACTACTCAGATGTAAATGATCTAGATAGTCAAACTTGCTAACCATTACATCATGTCGAAGTGCTTAAATGATTTTTAAGTTGTTATACCAGAACATTACCTATTCTATTGTAACAGACTCTCCCGCAGATAATAAGTAGTAGTAGCGGTCGCCAGTTGAGCTCAGTGGTGTTGAGCGAGTCAGTTGGTGTCGGACATTGAAGTATCAACCCTCACAACTAGATTGCTGCGTCATTAACTCTTATTTTCAAGTTTTATTTTCAAATAAATAAATAAAGAAAACTTTTTACTCCTACGGAGTAAAGTTTTAGGGGGGTGTTATAACTGAACGTACCTATTCTATTATTAATAGACTCTCCCACACATAATAAGTAGTAGTAGTAGTAGCGGTCGCCAGTTGAGCGAGTCAGTCGATGTCGGACATTGAAGTAACAACCATCACAACTAGATTGCTGCGTCATTAACTCTTACTTCAAGTTCCTAACGTTTTTGCACGTCGAACATAATTTAGGACGACTTATTGAAATACAAGCCTCCACTGTGAAAACTACTCTACAACATAAGTATAGTTTAGATGTAACATAAGGTCAAAAGCATGGTGTACCCGGTGAGGATCGAACTCAATACACAGTCGTAATGGGTCTAGGGAGACAAGCTTGCTAACCATTACACCAAATCGAAATGCCCATGTCTGATATATATATATGTAAAGTTCATATACTGATTTACTAAGCTTTGTTTAGACGTGGCACAAGGCCGGAAGAGTGGAGCACTCACTGAGAATCGTAATTGATCTAGCGAGACAACCTTGAAATCCCTTACACCACGTCGAAGTGTCCTAATGATTTTATAAGCATAGCTTAGATGTGGTACGAGGCCGAAAGTGTTGAACACCCACTGCTGTTCGAACTTACTAGCCAGTCGTAACTGATCTAGCGAGACAAGTTGGCTAAAAATTACACCACGTCGAAGTACCCAGATAATAGCCTTTATGAGAAAAAGAATAAAAAATAATCACCTCCTCCTGATCGTTGGCCTTTTGCGAGCTAGAGATTTTATAAACAAGAATAAGCATGACAAAGATGATTGGATTTCAATGTGCGCTGCAGAAAAAATAGATTAGGAAAAATATATGAAGCTGACAGAAAAGAACTATAAAGAAGTATAAATAAAATGTTCCTTTTTATTTCACTCTCCTTCGCGAAATGGCGTCGAAAGTTTGGCAATAAATAATATGTTGAAAAGTTGGCGAAAACAGTTCTGTGTTGTGAGAACGACACGTCATAAGGGGAGAGAACTTTTTTTTAAAACCCGGCTTCTGAATATTGTAGCAAATAAATAACAACTGTAAACACCAAGATGAAAAATGAGGAGACACATTTGTTATTGATGAGAAACTGGAATATGTCGTTGCATTTCGAGTTTTACTGGGAAAACCACCCGGAGAGTATTCAACCATAACAAAACTTGGACAATAAACTTCCTCAAACATTTTTTTAATGCCATATACCTCTATGATGTAGGCGAGCAACACTTCCCACGGTTTCATTTACTTTTTCCTGTGATTTACCATGACTTCTTCAAAAGGATAGTGAATAAGTTTTCCGTTGCCATCTTTATGGTTTTCCTTCTCTTAGAGGTGTTGCCTCTCAAGGCTAGATGACCCTGTCTACACTGCTAATTAATCCATTAAATGCATAAGAAGAGACAGATTCACGATTCTCAAGTGAACGCCACAGTCTATTACAAAATTTTAAATCTGATTGAGGAATCGGAGAGCCGAGTTCGAATGCCAGTCGGATCCATTACATTCATTTACATGCTAATACGCTTGGGAAAGGTGTGAATCCTCTTGTTCTACCCCTCACCCCTCCAGCTATGGTAAATACTCCTTTACCCAGCTATGGGTAAATAACAGCACAGACTAGGTTCTGTATCTGTCTATATTTCTGAGATGAGGTATTATGTACACTATTTACATTGTTCGGACTATCATCCTCATCTTTGTTGCCATATTTATCATAATGTTTCGGTCGTTCTTCATGTGGTTGGAATGTGGAACTGAACCTTTTATTTCGCTCTCCGAGGTTGTTATGCCATAGTACCTATTCTATTGTAATGGAGTCTCCCATAGATAATAAGTAGGAGTAGCAGTGGCAAGTCTGGCAGAATGGTGTTGAGCGCGTCAGTCGAGATTTGGACATTTGAAGTACCAACCATCACAACTAGATTGCTGCGCCATTGACTCTTATTTTCCAAGTTCCTAACGTTTTGTACGTCGGACCTAATTTAGGACAACTTATTAGAAATACAAGCCTCCACTGTGAAAATACTCCACAACAGATGTAGACTGTTCTAGTTTCACGTGCCATGTCTAATGAATCTGAGTTATCAGTTATCTCCTGTTAATTCCCCTCTCCAAGTTCCCCACCACCTTAACAAGGTATTGAACTCACACTCTTTGGGTCCTGTCACTGGATCTAATTAACGCCTTTATCCACTGTGCCATGTGTCTCTTTGAACGTTCTATTGATGTTTTTTGAATGGACATTGAAGATGGAAGCCAGAGTATTAATGTTGGCACCATACTGAAGGCTTGAATGGTCATTTTCCTCCCAACATTGTTTAGTTGTAAATGCATAGTGGGGCTGACAAAACGATTTTAAACTGTTCTCTTTCTAGCTAAATAACTCAAATGGTTTTTCAGTGATTGTTACGACAAATGGTGTCAAGATGGCTAAACGTCGTATCTGAAAACCTCGAAAAAAGAAACTCAATTAGTTTTGTGGTTTCTTAGATATTAAATATTTAAAATTTACCGTCCCTTTGAAGGATGACTACCTATTTGATAAATAATATTTAAATACAATTATTTCTATTTATTTTATATTCTTTCTAATAAAACGTAATTCTTTTCCGAACACATTAATATTTAAATAAAAATTTAACTTCCATTTCTTTTTATATCCTTTCTGGTAAGACGTAATTATCTTCCGAGAACTCTTATGTGTGATAAATTCATTAGGAAAATAGAGAAGGCACAATGAAAAACTAAACCGTCAATATTTGTTCTGTAAATTGGTTTCATTTGTTGGGCTGGGCACACAATAATTGACAAGACTGGTCCTCACCAAGAGAAATATAAAGAAACGAATGGAAATGCGACGAAAATGTATTGACATGAATCTCAAGTAAATGGCACGATTTTTCTTCTAGGAATGGAAGAGATCAAAACTTTTAGCCATGTGTCCGCATGTTTGCACGGACGTGTCGTCTGTTGTAAATTGTAAAGAATGATGACTGGAAAAAACGTATAATTGAAAACGTGATGAACGGCGTAGGTATGTAAAAAAAGCAAAGAAAGAAAAAGAGTTGATGGAGATGAAGAAAAAAGAGAGAATATGAGAAAGAAAGAGTAAAGGAATGAAAGAGAAGACGTGATCATGAAAGACAAAAAAAAATAGAGAAAAAGACTCTAGAGTAGCAGTAAAGAAAAAAATAACGCAATCGTCTTGAGTAGCAAAGAAAGAAAGAAAGAAAGAAAGAAAGAAAGAAAGAAAGAAAGAAAGAAAAATGGGGTGAGGTTGCAGAAATGTAGAGAGAAAATAAAAAAAAATATTTCAGGAAGCAGAAAACGGAAGAAAGAAAGGAAAATCAAGAAAAAGTGAGTAAAGTGAAAGAAAAAGAATCTAATTTGACAAAGAATGAAAGAAAATACTTTATGAAATAATACGAAGAAGGAGGGGAGGAGTAGTAGGAGGAGGGAATTGAAGAATGAAAGAAAACTGAACAAAAATAAAATCTAAATTAAGAACAAATTCTCAGAGAAGTAAGAAAAACAGAAAAAATGAAAGAAAAAAGGACAAGGAAGAAAGAACGGAAAACCTTACAGGGAAAAAAGACACCGAGGTGGTATTTAATAATAATAATAATAATAATAATAATAATAATAATAATAAGAAGAAGAAGAAGAAGAAGAAGAAGAATAAGAAGAATAATAAGAAGAAGAAGAATAAGAAGAAGAAGAAGAAGAAGAAGAACGAAAGAAAGTGGAACAGAAATAAAAGTCTATGGTAGCAGATAAGTAAGAAAAACAGAAAGAAAACCGAAAGAAAAAAGAAATGGAAGAAAGAAATTAAATCGTTAAAATAAAAAAAGACTCTTAGTAGGTAGAGAATAAGAAGAAGAAGAAGAAGAAGAAGAAGAAGAAGAACGAAAGAAAGTGGAACAGAAATAAAAGTCTATGGTAGCAGATAAGTAAGAAAAACAGAAAGAAAACCGAAAGAAAAAAGAAATGGAAGAAAGAAATTAAATCGTTAAAATAAAAAAAGACTCTTAGTAGGTAGAGAATAAGAAGAAGAAGAAGAAGAAGAAGAAGAAGAAGAAGAACGAAAGAAAGTGGAACAGAAATAAAAGTCTATGGTAGCAGATAAGTAAGAAAAACAGAAAGAAAACCGAAAGAAAAAAGAAAAGGAGGAAAGAAAGAAAATCGTTAAAATAAAAAAAAGACTCTTAGTAGGTAGAGAAGAAGAAGAAGAAGAAGAAGAAGAAGAAGAAGAAGAAGAAGAAGAAGAAGAAGAAATACAGGAAATAAGTAATACAGGAAATAATGCAAAAGGAGTAGGAAAGAAAGAAAGTGAAAAAGAAAGGGTATGTAGAAATGGAAAGGACAATGTGATGGAATGTGAGGAAAGCCAAAGAGAAGAATGCCGATAAAGACGAGAAACAAGAGGTCATACAGTCCTTGAAAGAAAGAACGCATTTGGAAGAAAGAAACGAAGTGGAAAGAAAAAGAACACTGAGAACATTGTTACTGGAAAAACAAAATATATACAAGCTCATCTTGCGCAGTATTGGGGGCTTGAATCATTACAAAGAAATAATAAGGACAAAAATGGCCACAAATTTAAAAAAAAAAAAAACATCGAAGAAAATAATTGAAAAACAGGTTGGAGATGTTGAAAGTGAATCATGTGTTCATACACACATTTCCAAAACGACGCATCCTGAGGAGTGCATTAAAAAAAAAAATCATTAACTTTAGACTTTCCTTCCTGATCCTAGTTTCCTTTTGACTTACAGACAACGTGACATTGTCTTGAATCATTTATTTCGTGAAATATTCCAATCGAGCAGACGATCGAAAATATTCAGAAGAGCTCAATTCTCTAGTATCATCTGTTCAACTCTTTAAAGACACGGCATGCTATGTACACAGAGTTTAGACCATCCTCAATGAATTTGTATTGCATTTGTAAGGTGGAGATCTCCATTAGATTTTTCCCAAGAACTCTTTAATTGTCGAATAGACTCCTGCGTGGATGCTTCATTGAACAATACAATCTTAACCTCTTCGATTAAAATTATCTATCCTTTTTATTCTTATAATCTTCATTTCTTACCTTTTATTCTTACTGCACATGTGTGTAATTTTCTCTTTTTGAGTAGGTACACATCTACTTATCATCTCTCAGTTGCATCACTGTCCTTAGACTGAATGCGCTCAGGGGCTTCTCTGTCAAAGGACACAGGGGCAACTGAGGAAAATAATACTGAAAAGGTGCCCAGCCCTGGGGAACAGCTGCCCGAGCCCGCGCCCTCCCACTGCCACAGAGGGAGGGATTGGTGCGCGCACTGAGGCCAGCGCAACCGACTGTTGCGAGGGATGAGGATAATTTTCGTTCCTGTCCTGGGTGTACGCGCTCGGGTCCCCACCTAAAAATAGACCTTTTCACATCTCGTCCTAGTGCAGGGACAGAGTAAATACTTACTGCACATCTCATTCAGTAATCCTATAACTTGAGTGACTCTCTTATATATATATATATATATATATATATATATATATATATATATATATATATATATATATATATTACTGACCGGGGTTTTATGCACAACGCATTCTTTAATGAAATGAAAACCTATTTTATTAGCGTCACCACTCAGTGAGGATTATATATATATATATATATATATATATATATATATATATATATATATATATATATATATATGTATATATATGTATATATATATATAATTACATGAATCATTCATACAAAAACAAATATAGAGGTTAATGATTTAAATGGCGAGAATACATCCTCGCAAACAATTTCAATAAGGTACACTAACCCCGAACCTGTATATGAATGATATGATCCCTGTTTATAAATTCCAGTTGCATAAGGTCTTTTTTAGATTTTACAAGCTTTCGTCTGTTCCTACAGACATCCTCAGGTATGGAAATAGATTTGTTCTTGTTTTTTATTTCTCGGTAATAAGAGGACAACGAAAATATGGATGTAATGCTATGAGAAATGTGTTATTATTTTGGAACGTGCGGTCGCAACGCTGAGTTTGAATTTTAAATTTTACGGTTGTGCGTTTTTGTACAAATATAGTAATAAGAGAATTATTTTGTACTGGTAGATTTTCCGTCAATGTGGCATGAACTATATTGTTCAATAATTACAGGAATGTCACACTTATTATCCGAAAGTTGCACGTTGTATCTGTTATTTTAATTTCGATTAAGGTGCAGTTCAATTTATAATTACATGAATCATTCATACAAAAAAAAATATATATATATATATATATATATATATATATATATATATATATATATATAACTTTCGACAATCTTGTCTTCCCACATGTCTTCGATTCTCCATTTTTAAACTAGATTATTTTGAGAAATTGTAGCGTGCCGTTTTTATGAGTTTCGTTTTTCACTTTCTGCTTTTGCATCCAGTTTGGAACATCAGAAAACGCTTTGACAGAACGTTTCATTCTCATCAAAGAAAATTCTACAGGGAGAAAATATGTTTGGAATTGCTTTCTCCTCAGAGAAGCCCGTCCATGAAAAATAAAAATTCTTTATTCGCTGAAACATTTCTTATTCTGAAAGCATTCGACCTCCACTGATTTTCTTGCCAACAAACGTGACTAACCTGATTTGTCGTCTCAATAATTAACCCCACGATTAATTCCCTTTGTTGTTGAGATATACCGTCTCATATTTCAGAAAGTTCTTCCCCTCTGCCTGCATGGGCAGCTTTTAACCGTAAAATAAATTAAATTCATTCGACTCAACACACATAGCAAATAAAATATTGAATACCCTTTGAACATCTCAAAATCAATTTGACAGATTTCGTCGAATCACTGCCCGAAAAATAAAATTCAGAGTGAATACAATTTTACAGTACATTTCCTTGGTAAGAAATCTAAATGTAATGAAAATACCATTGTGTTTTGGTGTCCGTCATTGATACCTTACGTTCTTTGAGGTTTTGTTTGATTTTAGATTATTGTTAATTTATATGCACTAACCCTTTTCTGTGAAGTAATTCAAAGTTTTACTTATCGTCTAACGGTTGACTTCGTCTTTGGTATTCTTAGTTTGGCAGTGAATTGGGTCTTTGTTCAAGAATGATTCTTTAAACATTTCCGCTTTGAGGCCATCTGGTAAATTATTATCATTTTATACACGTTAATTATTTAATGCAAATAAAAATAGGTGGGGGTTGGAAATCGACTTCAAGGTAACTCAGGGTTGAAATAAACAGAATCCGAACGCATCAACCAGTGGCAGCTGATTGATTCGTTTGTTTAACGGCGTTATGGGTAAAAAATGCCGAAGTTGAATTTTCCTGGGAGTTTTGAGGTAATAAAATAAGTTATTCTGCCTTCACAGTTGAATGCATGGTAGATGATCTCAACTTTTATGCATATACATGTTTTTGTGGACATAATTACTAGAGGCGGTGATATGTGTGTTTCATGTAGTTTTGTTGAAGTTATATTTTGGAAAACAGTTTGATTCATTTAAGAAATTTTTGGATATTCTGGAGATTAAGCCTTTGATCCCTGCTTTCCTGATCAATTAACCCTTTGATCCCTGCTTTTCTGAACAATTAACCCTCTGATCCCTGCTTTCCTGAACAATTAACCCTTTGATCCCTGCTTTCCTGATCAATTAACCCTTTGATCCCTGCTTTCCTGAACAATTAACCCTTTGATCCATGCTTTCCTGAACAATTAACCCTTTGATCCCTGCTTTTCTGAACAATTAACCCTTTGATCACTGCTTTCCTGAACAATTAACCCTTTGATCCCTGCTTTCCTGATCAATTAACCCTTTGATCCTTGCTTTTCTGAACAATTAACTCTTTGATCCCTGCTTTCCTGAACAATTAACACTTTGATCCCTGCTTTCCTGAACAATTAACCCTTTGATCCATGCTTTCCTGAACAATTAACCCTTTGATCACTGCTTTCCTGAACAATTAACACTTTGATCCCTGCTTTCCTGAACAATTAAAACTTTGATCCCTGCTTTCCTGAACAATTAACCCTTTGATCCCTGTGTTCCTGAACAATTTTAACCCTTCTGCCTGAGCTCCTGAGTCAAAATTCGCAAATGACTGGTATGTAATGTTTCACGGTAGATATAAAAATAGTCACAAAAATGAGAAACATTATACTTAGCAGGGAATGAGTATTATTGCATGCCTTCACTTTATCTCCAGAATTCTTTCTTTGTGTCCCAGTCTACCCAAATATGACAACCAATAGCAGAACACGACGCAAGTGTTTACCCACCGTGCAACCGGTGGCTGGGCATTAAGTCATTTTATCTCTACCACCGGTAAAGCGGTGGTCCAGGCTCAAAGAGTTAATGTCACGAAAAAGTTCTTTCATGTTGATTGCTTGGTTGGTTTATTTTGTTTAGCAGCATATCAGTCTCTATGGGTTATTTAATGTTGAAATCTAAATATTTTGAACTCAATTTTACCTCTTTAACGAAATATATATTAAACACAAATGTATGCCTCCAACTACAGATAAAGTGTATTTTATTTACATTATTCGGACTATTGACCTCATCTTTGTCGACATATTTATCACAAGGTTTCGACCTTGTACGCTCCGGCCTTCTTCAGGTGGTTGGAATTTCGAACTGAACCCTTTATTTCGCTCACCGGAGTAGACTGTTCTAGTTCCACGTGCCAAGTTTGATGGATGTCATTCATCAGTTATCTCCTGCTAATTTCCCTCTGAAAGTTCTCCACTGCCTTAACCGGGTATTGAACTCGCACTCTAAAGTGTATTATTGGCCATTTTTCTATAAAATGTAATTATAATATTCTAAATATGTATTGTTGGTAATTTTTATATAAAAATGTATTTCTGATATTTTTTTTTACTATAAACATGCATTTTTATACTTTCATAATGTTTTTTTTATGTTTGGAGGTTCGCTATATGCTCATAGTTGGGTCCCTAACAGATGATCGCACCCCGGGTTAGGGTGAACCTGGGAACAACAGCAATTAAGAGATAGTTCCACGCTCCTCAAAACCTACAATATTCCGTTAGGTGAACTTGCTGTCGGATTTTGTTTATCGTCATATGCATGTGAAAACCCTAGAAAACAATGATATATATATATATATATATATATATATATATATATATATATATATATATATAGAGAGAGAGAGAGAGAGAGAGGGGGAGATAGATAGATAGATAGATAGATATATTAACATTTGGTCTCTCTGTGAGCATTAGTAACAGTGACCTTTGGTCGAAATGCCACTATGTAACATTCCCAAAGCATATGTAGCTCGAACTGTTTTTTTGTGCAATTATGGTCGTTGTTCGATAGTGGACTCTAACAAATGAGTCAATGCATTGGTCTTCAGAGTTGTCTCCGGAACAATGTATCAAAGTCATATTGTCTAAGTT